ACAGGGAACCAAATGATACACTAGAAATTATACACAAGAAGTTAGTAGTGGAAGAATAAAGGAATAAAAAGGACATAAAACACAAAGAAAACAAATAGCAAAATGGTAAACCTAAGTCCTTTTGTAGCCAGTGCTAGAGACTCAATCCAGGGCCTTTCATGCCCTAAGCAAGTATTCTACCACTGAGTTATGCCCTTAGCCCTCAATGAGTCCTATCTCATCAGTAATTACACCAGTGATTACATTCTAATCAAAAGGCAGGGATTGGCAAATGAATTAAAAGAGAACATGATCTAGTCTCTATAAGGAACACTTCAGAATTAACAATACAAAAAAGAGAACATGATCTAGTCTCTATAAGGAACACTTTAGAATTAGCAACACAAAAAAGGACAGAAAATAATGGGAAGATGTACCATGAAAAAAATTAAACAAGAGCAGGAGTGGCTGTACAAATTTGTGACAAAACAGCCTTTAGACAAAACTTATTGGGAGACAAAGCAGGGTAGGTAAATGTAAAGAGAAAAAACCAATTCATGAGGAATACATAACAATTATTAACATATATGCATTTAACAACAGAGCCTAAGTCCCAAAGTACACAAAGCAAAATAGAGAACATGTTAGTAACAACTGTAGATTTTAATATCCCCACTCACTTTCAATCATGGATAGAACCAGGCAGAAAATTAACAAGAAAATAGAAACATTGAACAGTCTGATTACCTAAATCTAACAGTGATGTATAGAGCACCAACAACAGAATACATTCTTCTCAATGTGTGCATGAGACATTCTCCAGGCTAGATCATATGTTGGGTCACAAAACAAACCTCAGTAAACTTCAAATGACTGAAATCATATAAAGTATGTTCTCTAGTTACTATAGACTACAATTATTTCCTCATCTGTGAAAGACAGCACTTTTTACCTGAGAAGGGGACAAAAGAATCCAGATTGCAAGCACCCAGAACAGGGCATAATAAATAATATGAACTAATGACTTGAATGTTTTTCTTTGCCTTGTAGCTGGAGTATGGCAAATGAGGAGTTACCTTACTCCTTGAAAATTAGAAAAAACAGTTAATTTAGAATTGGTGGCAGATTATATAACTGGTGTTATCTCAGTATTGAGAAAACACAGTATCATAACCCCAGTGTATCTACCGCTGATACAGCTGAAAGCTGAATGATGGACTGACTGTCTTAGCAATAAAAACTAGCCGTTTACAACTCAATAAAACAAGATAAATGATTATGGATCTACTTAGATTTTCCTTAGCAACAGGCCACTGGAGTGCATGACTTTCTTCATTTATCCCATATCAGAGAAGCAGAATCAGGCTACATTGTTATTAGTCAAATCTAGTCAAGGTGTAAAGCTTGACTTTATACCTCCTCAGTACAGTTTCTAGTTCTGATTGCATATGGCTGGTTTGAGTTGTTGTGACAGAGTCCAAATGGCTCATAAAGCCTAAAATATTTACTGTGAGGCCCTGTAGTTAAAAAGTTTGGTGACCCATAACCTAATAACTAAATAATCCTTGGGTGGGCCTGGCAGATGATATTCCAGGAAAGACACTGGAAAAACATGTAGTTGCCCTTTTATTTCCAAGTTTGTATTGCTCTCTTCAACATGGCCAAATCTTGTTGCATCTATAAATCCTTCCAGCCCTCCTCTTTTAATTGCTTTGGAGCAATGCCAAGACATACATCATATTTCATCTTTTTTGAGTCTCTTTGCAGTGTAGTTTAAGTCATGTAATACTAATGACAGTACTTATCTATTTTTGTAAGTATGAGAATAGCCATGCTGTTAATTTTCCTTTTAATTCTACTATATGACCGGTAGATTGACCAAATGTTCTCTGCATTTAGTTTAAGGGTTTTAAGAATGAGAAAATTCACTTCCATCCTAAAAAAGGGACAATGGAAAAGTCACAGTTCTTCAGGAGTTCCTACCACCTTGTTTTTTGAACTGACCAACAGGGAAGCAATAGCTAATACAGAATTGCTAAAACTACTTCTGGCAGATTTGCTGATTCTTTAGTTTAAATCAGAGATGTTTGCTCACTAAAGATGCTGCTTTAGGACTGTTTAGGGATATGAGGTAGCTTGGTTTGGGACATTTTGCTGCTATGGCTTCACTTTTCTCCCATTCTCATGTTCACTGCTCTCCCATCTCACATCAGCACCTTCTGAATGAGCACATCTGCTTTTCCTTTATAGTGACTAGAGTTGCAAATGTTAAATTTTTAAAATATTTTTTAAAAAGCTCTGATTTGTATGCCCCTTTTAAGGAATTGCTCTCCTCCAGGGCTGAAAGCCCTGTCCTTGAGCATCCCCCCCTCCACCCGGTTCAGCAAAACGATGAGATCTGGTCTGTGGAAAACAATCTGTGTCCACTCTGCCCCCACCGTGTACACAGTCACACTGTCTCTGTGGGCAGCCTAATTGGAATCAATAAAGCAAAAGAGGTTAGCTGGCTGGAAAATCTTGTCAGAAGTGAAAGACATGAGACTGAAAAGGTACAGAGATATATTGAGCAAGCAGTAGTCTTTTCAAGGTTTTAATGATAGGAAAGGCAATTAAAAAGGCAGACTAATTGCTAGGATATATAACTCACTCTTTGGACTGTCATTTAGTTAAGGGAAAATGGTAACAAGTTTGAAGTATTCTGAAGATACTTAAAAAATGATGAGAAAATTTAATGATGAGATTTAAAAAAAACCCCACATACATACATTCACAAATAATTTTTAAATTATCTTGTTTTTTTCCTAATATTCTCAAGAAACACAAGCTTGAGAACCAAAGAACCACTTGACCATCCCAAAGGTCATAAATAGTACAACACAGGCTTGTCTTATCATAAGCAAGGAGTTTTAGAATCTTTGTTTTCTGCTGTGCTCAAGAGACCCACAAGGGTCCTATTTTCCTAGCTTACCAGTGATCAATACAAGTGGCTTGAAGAAGCAAAAGCACACATGTGGAGAATTCTTGTTAAGACTCCAGCATGGATTATTAGTCAAGTCTGCATTACTGCTATAAGCTGGTTCCCACATCCCCGTACCAGGTTGCATGTGGAAGATCATTTCCCAAGTCACAAGTGTATTTTGTTAACACTCTTTCTTCTTCTTTCCTTCCTTTTTTTCCTTTCTTTTCTTTCTCTGTCTCTCCCTTTCTTACGCTAGGGACTGAAATTGGGGCCTCACACGTGATGCAAGCTACACCTCCAGCACTTTCATTAATTTACATTTTTAATAATTTTATCCCAAGTCTCCCAGAGTTAGGACCTCTATACCTTATTTTAGTTATCTATTGCTGTGTGATAAATTATCCAGAACTTAGTGGCTTAAAACAAAAACCATTGTATTTGTTCATGGTTCTATGGTCCAGGAGTTTCTGCAGGGCTCAGTGGGGACGGCTCTTCTCTCTCCTACAGTATCTGTGGCCTCAGCTGGAATGATCTGGACAAGGGAGAACTCGCTGGGCCTCTCTTTTCCCATGGTTATCACCTGGTGACTCAGCTGGAGCTTGAGACTGGAGATCCCCGACTCCTAACATCTGGGCACTTCAGCTCTCTCCCACTGGGCCTTTTCATCACTCAGTGATCAAGTCTGACGTTTACAGGGAGGCATACTCTGGGCTTCCAAGTGTGAAAGCATGTGCTATGATACTTTGAGGGATCTCAGCTTGTAAGTCTTAGAATATCACTTCTGAGTTCCATTAATCAAAGCAAGTCACAAGCCAGACCAGAGTTAAAGGGTGAGGGAAAAAAATCTAACTTCTCTAAGCGGACAAGAACTTGCAATCAGACACCGGGGGCATTGTTGGCAGCCCTTTTTGGAAAAAGATCACCACTCCTTTCAAGAGCTAATTAGATAAAGTAAGCATGACTCCTGAGAGAATGCTAGAAGACTTCCATCTTCCTTGGAGATATCCTAATCTTCAGGCCCAGGATCGGAGACTGACACTTTCCATTGGTTTCTGCTCTGAGCAGAGGATGAGGAGGATGAGAAGCATTAGGGTACAGATGAAGGTGAAAGAGACTGGGGAGCTTGGCAGTAAAAGCATTCTAACATGACTGTCTGTCGCTCTTCCTAAGTTTCAGATAAACTATAATATACAGTTAGCTTTCTTTTGCAAATTCATACAGTGGTCTTCCTTTATTTGTAGATTTCTCTTTCATCATTTCAGTTACCTGTGCTTAACTGTGGGCCAAAAATATTAAGTGAAAAATTTCAAGAATAAACAATTCATAACTTTTATTAACTTGTTATAATTGTTCAAAGTCATTGTCAGTAATCTTACTGTGGTGAGTCTATAAATTAAACTTTATTGTAAGTATGTATGGAAAAAAACACAGTACATGTTTCAGTACTATCTACATTTTTAGGCACTGGGGGGTCTGGTAAATATTTCCCACTGATAAGGGAGAACACTTGTCCTTAGATCATTTCTAATAACATTTTGTTGATATTTTCTAGATTACTTTTTTAACTTACAGGATTCTACAGCAAAGCAGAATTAGCACTGTTTGATGCCTTACCCCAAGTGTTAAGGTAACATTAAATTTATTTCATTAAATGTACTTGGTCTTTATAAGACAGTACATTTTACCAATACTTTGTAAGTACTTGAAGTGCTCAAGTGAGTAAGGAAAGTCTTGATTCATACTGCCTTCAGCAATATTAGGCACTTGCCCTCTCACTGAAGAATCGCTCTTAGGAGTTAATTCTTTTCTCTGAATTCTCGGTGTGTTTATACATGCTATGCATGGTAGTTCTGCTAGAGGCATAGTTGACATGTCTTAGCCCTCACTGGTACTCTGTGAAGGCTTATAGTACTGGCAATCCTTCCCTTTTTGATTCTGAGTCTGCATTTACAGTTGATAACCTCACATTAATTCATGATGCTCTCTTACCATTCCACTACATGATATGAAGAAATTTCACAGTGAATTCAAATAAAAGACACAAAAAGTTTTGCAAAAGATGTCCTATGTACATATATATAGTATTTTATTTTAAAATGTCATTGAACATATACAGTTCTTTAGCTTTTCCCAGGGGACATTGCACCTAAGTTTCAAAACACACAAAATAGATCCCCTTTACTAAACAATTTTCATTTGGGGGTTACAAAAGTCAATGTTTCACAATCACAAAGCATGAAGGTACATGGTTCTGAAACCATTTTCAGGCAGATTGCTCTCAATTTACTGTACGCAGGGTAGTTTTGGAAACAGACGATGTCATACATATTCCTTACAAATGATCCTCACCATGGGCCTCCTTAAGTCTCCACAGAAACAAAGAAGTTTGGAGGCAAAACAGGAGTGAAAGAATAATCTCAGGACTCCCCAAACAAACACAAAGTACTCATGGGCAATCACAAGAGTAGAGGACACAAGGCTCTCCTTCTTCAGGTATACCACAGTGGGAAACAATAGCACATGTATAGCCATATTTGGTCACTGTCTACCTGGTTGCTACATGAACAAAACTTTATCTAAGACACACAGGAAAAATTAAAGCTATTTACACAAATGACACTGTGGATCAGAAAGAGCAGTCTTTCTCAAACTGACACTCACATTTGTCGAAGAGCCATGGGGCTCACATCAGAGACAAGTCAGGGCGTTCCTGTAGTGTCCTTTGAAAATCCCAGTGTACACAGATACGGTGCACTGCCACACAAAACCCAAGTTTTCAGAGAGGTGGGCTGTTCTGTGCAGGCTGCTCCACTTCTCCACTCTTGTATGTCATCAAAATCCAAGTTTTTAACGTAAGATTCTGTGCTGTGGCCAGAGACTGTTTTACTCTTTTCTTAAATCTGGTAACTTTTAGGGTCATGCATAGACAATGAATCTCACTGCTTTCTCCATCTGCTCCAGAAGCACTATCCTACTGAAATGAAAATCCCACCAAAGCTTAACATACTCTGAAAAAGGTGGATCTCTTAAGGAAAAGTTAGATCCTCAAACTGGTGGAAAGAAAACCATTGACCACTTGTGGCCTTATGGTTAGGGTGGAAAAGCAGATGAGGAAGGAGGTAGGAATGGAGACAAGGAAAGGGACATCAAGAGGAGGATCCGATGTAAAAGACGTGGGAGACGTGTCCCAGGTGATTCCACACTAGTGTTTTTGGTACACTGACAACCCTGTCCAAATGGCTAACATGTGGGGCTAAATCTGGGTCCTGGGACTCATTGTTGCCCACCAATATCTACTTATGGCTGTAATTCCTCCCTCAAGATAAATAAATCCTTACAGAGAAGAGTAAGAGAATGTGGGCACGGCTGACTTCACATAGCCCCATGGAGGTAAGTTGCTAGGAATTTAAGAAATGAACACTCCAGATCCTGCAAAGCTGAATACTATAGAAAAGAATGGAAATTCTCACTTTTTAAGCTCCCATCAGACAAGTGAGTGCTTGGCCTAGCCAAATTCTCTCCTCTTCCTTCCTTGGAAGCCACAGCGGAACTCCCTCCACCTCTCTGCCTACTGGTCCTGCTCTGACTCTGGATGTTACAAGATGAAGCTTCGATGGGGTTGTCTGGCAAGATGCTGCAGAGGATGGCGGGACTGTGAGTTCACACTCTAAGCAAGAGTGTTGCCAACTAGTCCAAAGAGCAGGGGTCAGCCTAGCAAAGACATTTTGAGCTGAAAGAGCCTTTCATTAAAGGAAGTGGTCACACAACCCCCAGGACAACCATAAAGACCCAACTAGGAAATCAAAGGCGTTTTAATTACACAAGACTTCCTCTGAGGCTATCAGGACAAGCAGATTTGGCTATAAGTCAGATACACAAGGTTTCAGAACCACATATAAGTATGTTCTACAGGATTATGAGTGAGCTTTTTGACCTTTCCAAGAATGCACCAACTGCCAACCTATTATGTAGATGGTTACTGTTGTGGGGTAGGGTAACTTGGGCCCTGCATGAAAAATAAGGCCAAGCGGAGTAAGCTAAATGCACAGAGTCATATCAGTGCTGGGTAGCCCTGCCATAGGCATTAACAAATTACTTTTTCGGCTTCTGATGTATTCACCTCATTTGTAGTCTTTTTTCTATCCCCCAAATACAAACATGGCTTTAGATTGCTATTATGACCTTTCTATCCAAGTAGACGTAAGAAAAGAATTCCTAGCTACCTTTGTTACTAAAACCAACAGGACGAAATGCTCAAGGTTTTAGGATTATTTGAATGAGAGGTTTCCAAAGTTTTTCCTGAGACATGCCTTGGCAGTAAAGGAATTGGTGAACCCAGTAGAAAGTTGTCAGGACATCTACATTGAAATTCTGACTCTGATAGCTTAAATAAGACTAGAGAAGCTCAAGGTAGGGCCCAGAGAGAAGTCCAGGAAAGCAAAAGAGAAGGAAAAGGAGGAAGAGGAGGAGAAGAAAGAAGAGAAAAAAGGGGGGAGGAGGAGGAAAAAAAAGAGGGCAGAAACGGGAAAGATCCCAAAGAAGGCAGCGCAGGGTCCTCATGGAAGACTTTCTCAAGTTTCCAATTTCTTTTTTTGTTTTTGTTTTTGTTTTTGTTTTTTTGGTACTGGGGATTGAACTCAGGACCTTGTGCTTGTGAGGCAGGCAGCAGCACCACTGAGCTAAATCCCCTGCCCAAGTTTCCAATTTCTATGTGACTTTGAGAGTCAGTGCAGGAGCAGAAAGGGGACCACACTGTTGTATGATGCCTGAGAGTGTTCCCATGGCATCATATTCTGCCAGGGAAGAAAATGGTTTGCTGAGAGAGATGTTTGGGGGTAGCTAAGGCTTCCTGAAGGAGTAGGGAATGCTGTCTGATGAAGAGGACTCCTGAGAAGGTAACAGCCCATTTCTTCTCAGGCAACATGTTGGTAAACACCTGATGGAGAAAATTCCCATAGTATTTTACCTGCCAGACATGGCATTGATTCCACACTGTGCAACGAATTCATTCCTGAGCAGGAAGGTTCCAGATCTGTCCTACAAAAATATCTACAACTCCAGGAATTTAAGTGACTTACTACCCTGGAGGAAAGGTTCCTATTTTCTCCTCTGGGGAAGGAATTTAAACAAACACAAGAACTAGAATTGACTCTGCAGCACTTCTGGGGAGTCACATGAATGACCTTTATCTCTTTTGGGTTGGGAGAGTGTTTGAATTACACAAAGTTGTCAAAATGGTAATGACACCACAGAAGGTCCACAGGAAGAGAACTTTGCATTTAAGTGTTGCTCTACTAGGCCCTTCGGTATGCAGGAGCAGTCTGCCTAGGAGACGAAAGAGATTTTGTCTTGGCATTCCTCCTGGCACAGAAGTAGTGGGTGTTCATGGTGGCGAGGTGTCTGCTACTGTTGTGTTTGCGAGGCACACACAGAGGTGGAGCCCCTGTGGGAACAAGGGTCTCCATTTCTAGGGAGCTACAGCATGATTCTCTGGAAAAGGAGCAGGGAAAACAGCATGAGAAGGACTCAACTTCAAATTCACTTTTACTCAAGTGGCATCCTGAGTGCGCCTTCCCCAAAGATGATGGAAAGAGATTTGCTACGGCTCACAGAACTCTGATACACATACTTTGCTTGGAGTGAGCTAGAGGACAATCACAGTCCATGAAACCTGAATCTGAAACTGTCCTCAAATGAGGTATGGCAAACCCACTGATACAAGAGCCTCTTAAACCGGTCCATTAAACACTGCTTTGTGTCGATTCTCATGACACAGCAGGTGAGAGAAGCCAACCATTCCAGAAATGAAAATCTAGACTCTCACAGTGCGACCACAAGCTACCCAAGGAGACTGCTGAAGATAATAGAGGAGCTAGTGGTCCAAAGAACACCCCTATTTTCAAGAAAACACACTGATTTGGTGAGAAAATGGAACTCAGGAACAAACGTTACACAACAAAGACACAGTGTCAGGCAGGGCACTGCTCCAGATGGCTGCCTGGGTGGTGTGGGCCACAGGAGATGTGGACAATCCAGCCCGGGTTGGACTTTAACACAGAAATCCCTCAGCCAGGAGTTGGAAAATCCCAGTCCTATTCCCTGGGAGGGAAACTAGAGATTCAAGGAATGTTGGAAAGAAAAAAAATCTCAGCCTTCCCCTACCATCACCACAAAAGAATAAAAAGAAACAGAAGGAAAGAGGTGGGGGAAAGAAGGGAAAGCCAGCAATCCCTGAAATAAATCTTGAGCTTACTAGAATGTAGGTGCTCATACTTTGAGGTGTGACCCCCACCTTTCCAATGCAGCACTTTGAACCCGGAGAGAAGTTGGCAGCGTGACAGGCTGAGGGGTTTTCTGCCATCTAAAAATGGTTGTCTCATCTACTGTAGGTAAAATATATATGATGGATGTGCTCCCAGATGGGCAAGAGCTGCCTGGGAGGCCTATAAAAGAAGCCAATGGAGATACAACACTCTGTAACAGGTTCCCTGTTTCGCTCTAGTTGAGTGTCCAGACCTGTTACTAAAAAAGAAATGGAAACCTAAGGGTCACCTTGAAGCACAGCCAGTGGCTTTTTGGCAGCAAACTCCCCATCTGGGCTGGGAAGAAACTGCATTACCTGAACTCAGCCGGGCACCTCCCAGTTCTGCTCTGCCCAGAAGCATCCCCATTTTCTTTCCCTCTGTCCTCCCAGTCCCCGGGGGTCACTTTCATGACAGTTCGTTTCCATGTATTAAAGGAATGACATATACAGAAATGTCATCTCCCGAGCCCAGCCGGTCATTCGATATCCGCCATCCCCTGTCCTTCAGGACACCTCGGGCACGCATCACCAGGTCCTGAGCTGCTAGCGTGTACCTGTACAGGGAGACAGGAACAAGACAGGACAGTGTCAGACAGAGGCCGCGGTCAGGACAGGCTGGGAAGGAAGGAAGGAAGAGGCATCACTTGGTTCTCAGATACCTTTAAAGGAAAAAAAGTCAAGGTCATCTTTTCCCCAAATGTGTGATACAAGGTGTGAGATTATTTTTCAGGTTGTTGATGGACAAGTCACTAACTACTTTAAACAACCAAAAAAAATTATTTTCCTGCATGCTAAGCTATGCATGTGCTCTACCTCCGGGCTCCACCCTAGCCTTCTTTGGATATTGTTTATCACATTGAGGAGAGTCTCCATTTGTTACTAGTGCATCTTTTCTTCCTCTTTATTATTATTTTTTTGGTGCCAACACTTTTGGTGCCAGCAACAACTTAACAAAGACCTACTACGGCTCAGAGTTTTCCATGGCAAACAGTATCTAGCAGGGCCGGGGATTTAGCTCAGTGGTGCTGTGCCTGCCTCCCAAGTGCAAGGTGCTGAGTCTGGTTGCCTGAACAAACAAAACCAAACCAAACCAGTATCTAGCTAAAGAAGCACACAGGAAAAACAAGAACTACAGTTTACAATGTATTATTTTCAGGGCTACATTCTTTTTGTAACAAAGGGTAGCCATTTTCCATTTATAGTAGGAATAAATCTTTTTGAAATAAATTTTTTAAACAAAGGAGTTTGAAGACAATAATAGTTTATGTGAAATATAGCAAGAATGCGAAGTTTTATTTTGTTTTGTGAATGACTGATAATCCTTAAGGTAGATGAGCTGTTCCACTCATCCTTATTAATGCCATGGTTTCCTCTAATCAAATGTAAGAGAAATGAATCTGAAAATAATAATCTGCTCATTGAGATTTAAACTAAAAGCTGAAGAAAAGGATTAACATTTAGAGAAAGTCTAACATAGGAGGTAGTTGGGGGGCGGGGCTTGGCTAGCCTGGAGGCACAAAAAGTGAAAAGAAATGGTGGCAGATGTCTATCCAAATACTGACCAGAGCAGGGAGATTGTTAGTTGATAAGACTTCAGAGAAATTTAGTTCCACTGGCAGGACTATATTTGGTGTGGGATGGACTAGTCTCTTAGCTATGCCAGTAAACATATGAATCACTTTTATTCTGATTTCCCGCTCACCAATAACCTTCTGATTATGATCTGCTTCCTTGTGTAGGCTTGCTTTACAGGGAAAGAGTAAGACAATCATTTGACTTTAAGAATATTATTTATATTTCTTTGTGTAAATGTCAACTGGCATTTTGGTTTACAGATCAATCTTGTGAGCTTGGTTAAGATGAGCCCAGGTCTTATAATGAATCTATGCTTTGTATCTTGATTAAATCAGGTTCTGAACCTTGAAAAGCTAAGAGCCAGATTCTGATTAATCATCAAGAAAATAAACATCTCCTTATAAGGCCTCTTGGAAGGCAGCCTGTGTCTTTTACAAGGGACCACCCTGATATTGCTAGTGACTTTTCCCCACTTGGAGAGTCTCAGCCTTGCCTCTAGAAGCCTCTCTGCTTCTTCTATTAAAATCTTTTAAGAATTTACAGATGCTCAAGTTAAGAGACTTGCTTTTTAAAAAAGGGTGGTGGAAAATGACCTCAGGATTGTCTAAGTTCTAAGTTGTACAATCTTTGAGAATCAAGTCTACTTATACAGCCTAGGTAGCAGATAGAAGTACAGTAAATACTACAGAGGAGAGAATGATGTACTCAACACAAAATGAATACCTTTCCTCCTGGAGGAGTGGGTAGGAGAGACACCTTTTTTTACCTGTATTGAGGGGTTTATTGGCTTTGAGGCAGAAATTTCTCAGTTGCACTTGAGGGATTGATATAACCAATCATTCCCAACTGTTCTCCTTCTTGTGAGACAGAGAAATAAACTGACAGGTATCTAAAGAGGCCTTTGACTGGACAGCCAAATAAATATCTTACAGTCTACACACTGCAGCTCCTAGACTGCATTCAGAATAGGCTCTCAGATGCTATCCCCAGGTTACTCTTAGTTTTATATTGAACTATCAATGTGACACACAATCACGCACGTAATGGCCACTAGCAGTACTGGGGGGTGGTTATTATCCTGGTGATTTTTCAGGATGAGAAACCTGGCTGAGTCAATAAGTTGATTCATCCATCAGAGCTGGACATGCCTTAATCCAGCTCATGAGCTGACGGGATGCAGAAAATTATAGCAAGCTATGAAAAACATGGCTGATGATGAAAGGAGTCAGAAAGGCAGATGCAGAACTTCTGACACAGGTCTTGGAGGCTATTTAGTCTGGGGCCAGATAACCTCCATGGGCCCTGCAGCCATGGAGAAATAGTTGAGAGATCAAAACAACATCTCACAGGAGGTATTCAAGTCATGAAGAAAAATATCACTAGTAGTGAAAGGCAAGAAACCACTGTGATACTGCTGTTGCTAGTAACTGCATGTATTCTGAAAATGGTCAAAATTTGCTTTGCTATTTTGAAAAGCAACCATTGGATCACCTACTAAAGACAGTTACCCAGGAAACTCATTTCCCTGAAGGTTCTATGTCATCAAGTTTTTATCCATAAACATGGTTGTTATACTTGGTCTTAAACACCCAGCAGAAAAGAATAACCAAAAGAGGTATAAAATAATGTCATAGTAATAAAGCTAGATATAAAAAGGGGCTCCAGTCACTGACCCCTTCTGGCAGTTTCTAGCTACACCAGTAGCTGACCACAGTTATGTATCATTAGGGAAAAATCTATGGTAAAATCTATAGGAGCTCAGCTGGAGTTTTATATTTCTTAGTGATATTTGTTCTTCAAATTGTCTCTTATCTCTTTACAGCTAAAACTAGAGAGACTTATGACAAAGCATCAGACTTACAGACCTCTATCAATGAAAGAATCTAAGAGCCAGCAGGTTACAATCACCATTTCAATTTCTAAGTGTGACTTTCTCCCCACCCTGACCTCTCATTCTAATGTGTTCATGCTTAGATTATACATGCTTTAATTTCTTAAAAGTTTTGTTTATTCTTGCCTAGAGGCTGCCAAACTCCAAGCAGCCATACAAATGGAACCAATGACAAATGTGCTAGAATTCTTTCACTGGGATCCACCAGATTGACCTTGTAAACAACTCATTAAGTGCTAAACTACACAATGTGACTTCTATGTTGGATTCTGAAGTCCCCTGGACCTTCTCCTTATCCTCTTCGTGTGAGGCTATTACTGGTTCCTCCCAGTGGAAATCCTTGTTGGCCATATTCATAGCAATCCTGCTGACCTTATAATTTGGCCCTGGTATTCTTAACTGTTTCTTTGGCTTTTCCAGACTCAAAGCTATATGGCTACCAAGATGACAATGGCTGGTGCCTATCAAAGGCCTTTAGACAGACCCTCTGTAGAGTAACTCTAACTGCTGATGACAACTATGACCCTCTTCAGCTGGAAGTAGCTAGAACAGTCTTCGCCCTTTGCCCCCTCACAGCAGTTAGGTGTACTTCTTCAGAGGGGGGAATATTACAGATAGGTAAGTTAATTAGATATCTTGTAGGCAGTTAGACAGGGCCAGCCCAGGAGGAGCCAACAAGGAGGAGAGTGAAGACACATTCACTGAAGGCCAGCATTGTAAAAGGAGAGAAACTACCACACCCTTGTAGGATGAATAGCAATGACTGATATTCTAAACAGGTATCATCACCTGGGTGGGGGGCCAAGGTTTTAATCCAGCCTCTCCAGGAAATATCCCTGACCCATCCTTACTGAAAGTCCTTGTATGCTTGCTACATGACTTGCTCCCTTATTTGACCCCCATTTAATCAATATTACCTGGGTGACTTTACTTGTAATCTTATTGGTTGGCCATGGTTTTGCCCCACCTCATGCCCACCTTGTAAATTTCCACTGGGTCTTATAGTTTTGTCTCACTTTGTAGCCACCTCACCACATGGCTTTGCTGTATAAAACATCTTTGAAAAGTGGGGTGGCTGGGCAACCCACTTTCCAGACCCCCTTCTGTCTCTCTTAAGGCAGAAGCTTTCTTCCTCCCAATAAATTTTTCCTACTCTTAAAAAAAAGCACATGGTTGTTATAGCCAGGTGTGGTGGCGCATCTGTAATCCCAGTGCTCTGGGAAGCTGAGGCAGGAGGGTCACAAGTTCAAGCTCAGCCTGGGCAACTTAATGGGACCCTGTTTTAAATAAAAAAGGGCTGGGGATGTGGCTCAGTGTGAAGGCGCTAGCTTCAAACCCCAGTGCCCAGACACCCAAAGTTTCTGAGTTGCTTATTCCAAGATAACTTTCTCTTCTGAGATTACTTCTTTCTTCACCATCCTTTCTGTCTTCTGTCTTCCTTTAGGTGAGCTTTTTTTTGGGGGGGGGGTACTGGGGATTGAACTCAGGACCTTGTGCTTGCCAGGCAGGTGTGCTGCCACTGAGCTAAATCCCTGGCCCATTTATGTGAACTTTTTGAGAAAGAAATCCACTCTTCCTTCTTCAATTTCTTTCTTCCTTGGTCTCTTTCCAATACCTTACTAATCTGTCTTAAAGCTCAATGGTAAGGCAGCTTCCCAATACTCATTCTGCCCAACCTTCTTACAGCATAATTAATGCTGACCATTTTCTTTATCCTTGAAATCTTTTTTCTTCTTGAGTTTTTCTTTCTTTTTTGGGTATCAATATCATTATATAGCCCAAGCTCTCCTCCTGTGTCTGTTTCCAGAAGTACTGGCTGATGCTTCTTAATTTCCTTTGTAGGCCCTAATTAAGATTTACAAAGAACTCAATATATATTCAGTTATTTTTACTTCCAAGGTGTGACTTCCCTATCCATCATCTTTAGTTAATGGTATTCTAGTCTGTGAAGCAAGAAATCAGTCCTTTTCAATGCCACTTTTCAATGCCTGTTATTATTTAATTATAAAATCCATAAGGCAGAGTAGAATTTCTAAGCTTTTAAAAGTTTATTTCAGGGGCCAGGGATTTAGCTCAGTGGTTTTGTCG